ATAGACCACATGCAAAGCCATAAGACAGGTGTCAAAATGAAAAACTGAAATTGACAACCATGGAATAAAACCAGAAATCAATAGCAATAAAGATAATAGAACCGCCCTAAACTTGGACTTTAACAGCACACTTCTCAATACCCTATGGCGAGAAGTGCCATTCCACAAGGCTTTCTAATTTGGGCTTCTGACACTTCCAGGGGCGGTGGCCTTGGGTGGAGGTCGTGTCCTTGCCCCTTGAGTCTGAACAGACTTGTTAACATGATAACTTGTTAACTAACACAGAAACAGGACTCGGAACTGCTAGGCTAGGTTCTTAATGACGCAGTTTCCTCTTGGCTCTCTGAGGACATCTGCCCTTGGAACTCAGTCGCCAAAGAAGCAAGAGGCCCATGGTGAAGCCTCATGTAGGTGTTACAGAGGTGAGACTGCAGGAGCGTCCCAGGGAAATCCCACACTCACGGCCAGACACGAGTGAGCCTCAAGGTCCCGTCGTGAGCCCCACTTGGCCTTCAAGTTCTACAAGCAGAGGCCCAGATACCACAGAGCACAGTGGGGTCCCCACCACTTGGCCCTTTATGGATTTCTAGCCCACAAGGCTTGTGACACAGTCATCCAGGCTTGTTTGTTATATAAGAATAATGCTAGGAACGTGAATTTTAATATATAAATCATAACACAAAAGAAAAGTGAGCCTTAGCTAATGTAGTGAGTAGAGAGAAATGTACAGCTTTGGAATATACAGGAAGAGCTGTGAAATTTAAAGGTAGATATAAATGAAATTGAAAGCCAAGGAGAGAAAATAACATAGCCCAAGTTGGTTCTATCAAAAGGTTAGAAAAATTAAAAACCCCTTGGAAAGGTGAACCAAGGGAAAAAAAAAAGAAAAGATACAAAGTATGATTATCAGAAATGAAATAAAAGATATTGACATCAACTACATAAGCACTAACAGGAAATATCATGAAAAGCTATCAACAACTTTGACAAATTAGATAACAGATAAAAATTCCACGAGAAACAAATTATTAACACTGATTCTCAAAATAAGCAGAAAATATGAACACCAAGGCTCTATGAAAGAAATCAAATTTATTATCACAACCTTGACACAAGAAAACTCACTCCAGATGATTTCACTACTAAATTTTATCAAATATTTAAGAAACACAAACTTACTCAGAAAACAGAAAAAAACACTTCCTAACACATTTTAAGAGGCCACTATAATCCTGATGATAAAATGCTATACAGACATTAAAGAAAATTAACAGTACTATACTTCCCACGAGCAATATAAAATTCTTTGACAAAATACTGTGGTAGCTATAAATTCGGCTATACATATACGATATATGATTTTTTTTTTTTTGGTACCGGGGATCGAACTCAGGACCTTGTGCTTTCGAGGCAGGCGGAAGCACCACTGAGCCACATCCCTGGCCCTCAGCTATACATATAAAAAAAGGATAATATATTATGAACAAGTGAGGTTCATCCCAGGAAAGCAACTTAACATATGAAAATCCATCAAGGTAATCCCCCCATGGTAACAGACTGAAAGATGAAACACCATGGTTATCTCAAGGGACACAGCAAAAGCACACCCACACAGAAAACTCTCAGTTAAGCAGGCAAAGAATGAATGTTCCCGAAATAACAAAAAGTACCTACAATAAAATCCTATGACATCAGACTTAATGGTGACATACTAAATGCTTCCCTTCCAAGATTCCAAGATGTTCCTTCGTTCTACTCAACACGGTACTAGAAGTTCAAACGAGCACAAAGACCCGATGAGAAAGAAAGGTTGTAAGCACTGGAAAAGAAACAGAACCGTGCCTTGGTTCACAGGTGATAAATCTGTCTACGCAAAAAATCAGAAGATGTTCCTACACAACTACTAGAAACAATATGTGAATTTAGGAAGAGAGTAAGGTACAAGAAAAAGACACTAAAAATAAAATGTATCTACATATTAGCAACAAATAATTGAAAGAAATTAATATAGCATGAAAAACATAAAATATTTGTGAATAAATTTAGAAAAAGTCCTCTACACTGAAAACTCCCAAGCACTGCTAAGATAAACTAATAAAAACCTAAACAAATAGTAAAACATACTATGTGCCTGTATGGAAGAAATCAGTTTTCTCCAGATTAAAATTGAAATTCATAAAATTATAACAAAATCTGAACAGGTGTCTTATAAAATTGAGAAGCATATTTTAAAATTAACACACAAATGCAAAGAACTTAGAATGATCCAAATTTACACCACTTGATATCAAAATGCTCTACGAAGCTATAATAATCAAAACAGTTTTGTACTGGCATAAGATTAGGGAAACAGAACAATGAACAGAATAGGGTCTAGAGAACATGAACATATTTTCACACAAAGGACTTGTACAAGAATATTTACAGCATCGTTATTCATTTGATCCAAGATTCAGATGTCTACCAGAAATGGAGGAGAGAGAGTAACTGTGGTCCATTCATAGAGCACACTGTCTACTTACAAGTTTAAAAAGGAAGTATTGATAGGCACATACAGGTCAAACCCAAAAACAGCCTAGAGAAATAAACCAGACATGGGGTTAAAGGAATGAACTGAAATAAAAGGAGCAATCAAAACTATGCTATAGTGCTAGAAATGAGAACAGTTGTATCCTACAGCCCACCGGATATAGGGCCAACTGCAAAGAGGGCAAGAAAGCTCTGGGCTGACAGAACAGTCTGACTTCACTGAGGTTAACAGGAGCACACATTTATCACTGAACTGCACTTGGAAGGTTTTTCTTTATCACTGTAAGCTTTATTTTCAAGAAACATTAAGACTTATGTCCATGATATATTATTAAGAGAGTTAAAGTCTGGACAGAAAGAAGATATCTCTGAATTTATATATCCAACAACAACAAACTGTATCAAAAGAAAAAGTACAGAAGTAGCAAGAAAGAGACAAGCACATGAAAGCACTGGAAAACAGCTTGAATGGGTGTGTCTTGTGAGGGTATCCAAAGGCTAAATAAACATCCAAAAGTGTCCAACAACATTAGTATTAGGAAAATATAAATTCAAAGCAAAATGAGCTACCAGTACACATATACGAGGTGGACTATGCATTTAAAGCACCATGGAAAATGCTCAGGTGGACAGGAGACAACACAACTCTGAAACAATGCTAGCAAGAGTAAATTATCATGACCTGTCCTGAAACATGTGTGGCATTATGTGCCTACCCTAATAAAAAGCTTCACCGGCTTTGGCTTTCAATCTGCGTTCATTTCCATAAATGTCTGGCTTGAGAACTGCTACACAATACTAAGCATCGCTTCACTGACACGAGACTAGGTCCATCCTAGGCTAAAATGGGTTAAGTAACAGGCTGCAGAACCCACATAGCAATGAAATGGCATCCATCGAAGAACTGAAAAAGCCAGGTGAGAGGTACCTGTAGGACACAGCAGGTGGTAGGACTAGCAGGCTTGACCAGAGAAAGAAAACACAGGGATTCAGAGATGATGAGAGATAAAACAGGAGTCACAGTGCTGTAAACCTGGGACAATGTAAGAAAGTGTGTAGCAAAATGTCCATGGATGAAAACTTGATGAGCTTAAAAAAGGTTGTTAAATGTCTTTGTATTAACTAACGAGTACATTAAAGCATGAGATTTAGCCAGCACTCTATGAGGCTGAAGCAGAGGATCAAAGGTTTGAGCCCAGACTGGTCAACTTAGTGACTCAGTGAGAACCTATCACAAATAAAAGATAGAAAAAAGGGCGGGGGGGCATATCTCTGGGTAAACAGCCTGGGTTCAAATAAAAAAGAAAACTGAGGGCTACAGAAGGTATATATCTACCTCATGCCTCCCTCAGATACAACTGGAAAGAGAATTAAACAAGCTACATGATTAGGAATCCTTCTATTAGCAGCATGAAATAGCTCCTTGGCCAACAAGATTTTTTGCCTGCCCTACCAAATTTCTAAACTCCCAACTGTATTAAAACAATAACAACTGTTCTGACTCTTCTACTTTCCATTATCATTTTGGCTTACCTCTTTCAATTCTACCAACTAGGTAAGTAAATTCTTACTAACGAATATAAGAAGATCCTTCAAGTCCTGGCTGTATTTCTCCTTAATCTGAAATGAATGCAACAAAAAAAAGGAAAGCATCTATACAAGCACACGGTGTGCTTCATAAAAATAAATTGAGAACAGATAATGAGAACTCAGGCTGGCTTGCATAGCTCAGCATATTATTTTCCTTAGAAAATCTGCAAACCTCAGTTTACAGCATGTGTTCAGAAGAAAAGACTACATGAATGCTAACTTAATATTTATAAAAAGCAGCTTCTGACTTCAAAACTACACCAGTGTTGGCTTCTCTGTCTCTGGAGGAGGCAGTTCTCTGTAAGCAGAGTTGCCAACTTCTCTGCCTCTTGCTGACACTGCCTGTGGGACAACTAGCTTTGTTCCCTCTCTATGATAAAATTTTCAGTGAAAAAAAAAAAAACCTACCCAAGTGTTACTATTAGGAATTTTGTTAAACAGTCCTACAGGTTATGTAATTTACATATTTACTAAGTAGTCAATTCCGAATTTCTATTCTGTTTTATGAATTCAACAAGCATTATTTCTAAACAACCCTTTTAAATGTGGAAAGAATGTCACACGACCCTTTTCCAGAAACTATGAAAGCTGGCTTACCTCAGTTATTAGAAAGATTATACCTGCTGAGTTTACCAAGTTTCTCCTGGGGTGAAGGAGGGGAACAGAAAAGGCTTAGGAGAAGTGCAAAAATCATGTAGGCAACGCTTTACAGGAGGGAACTTACTCATCTAGCAGAAATAGCCCAAAATAAAGAACACTTGGGAAAAACGAGCCCACTCTACAATATCTTCAATGTACACTTAACCCTAAAGAACATCTAACGAGCGCATCTACGTACTTGCACCTTAGGGAGGCGCTGAGGTGAGATAAACGCGGTGTACCTGGGAGGAGCGGTTGGATAGATGATTTTTATGTGCTGGAATGTCAAGTCTTGATTTAAAACCTGCTTGATCCAGCTCCTCAGTCCTTGCCCAGAATCACCTGATGAAATTACAAAGTTTAGCATAAGACACACCTTTTAATAATACGAGGCATTTCAGCCCAGTTTACAAGTCTTATACACAAAGCCTGGGGTAAGAGATTATATAATGTCCACACACAAAGATCACTGTCTAGAAACTGCTTTATCAGGGAGGTCACTGATCACACATCAAGAGCTAGTCATAGTTTAGATTATTTTACTCTTGGCACTTTGAAGACTAAGCTTGATTTTAGGTTTCCTTATTTGTTTAAAGGGTATAATACTAATAAAGAAAGTAAACTGATTTTTTTTAGAAAGAAAATTATTTGTCTTTCTATATCCAATTTTAACAGTACCGTTTCTTATTTTACTCTTAAAAGTAACAAATTTCTGAAGTGACTGATAAATTTTTGTAGGTGGAACAACCTAGTATAATTTTGTTGGTTCCCTTCATTATAACATAACAGTAACAACTCTTCAAAGGGGATATTCAGTTAATTTTAATTTTTAATTTAAAGAAATTAGAAAATTTGGTAACATGTTGACATGACTCCAAATCATGATTATTTACTCCAAAGCAAAAAAAAAAACAAAACCCAAAAACCCAAGACTCAAACAAGATTTAATATATGTATATTTGCACAAAAAATGAATACAGGTCCAAGTTACATAATCCTAAGATGAAATTTTAAAGACCACAGTTTAATATTTTAACCATTCAAACATTGATTGAAAAATGCTGTACTGATGTATTAATTTGCCAGGCATGCTGCTCACTGGTAGGGGGACCATCAGGATGGGGACTTGGTGTACCTCCTATCACGGGGTCACGGAGTCTACAGCTCACAGTGAGAATCAAGCAGCTGTCAAGTAATCAGCAAATGCATCAGAAGGACACAGGTAATCACCGCACAGGTGAGGGGCTTGGAGCCACAAGGTTGGTGATACTCAGACCTGATCAGTTAAGGGAGCAGGGACAAGTTCACTAGGACACGGGCTCTGCAGGGTGACAAGCTGCCTTCTGTTTTACCCACTGTGCTGTTGTTGCTCATCAGAGAACAGCACTGACCCAGCCTGGGCTTCCGACACAGCTGTGAGAGGTGGAGGCGAAGTGTGGAAAGTGACAGCAAGAGGCTGAGGAAAGGTGACGGCTGAGACCCCAGACAGGTGGAAGCACAATGATGTCTAAGAAGCCAGTAGCACAAGACAAGAATGGGAACAGTGACTGCAAGAGAAGGCTGGAGAAACTGAGACACTGCGAGGTGAGACAGGAGCTTTGCAAGTCCTAGAGCACAGAGGAGCATGAAGATGTCTGACTGTGGTGGCACAATCTAGAGGACCAGGCCGAGTGCAGACAGGATTGACCAGGGACAGGCGCAGACAGGTGTGGATGTGGGGAGCTGTCAGGAGGCGACTGCTCAGGTGACAGTGCCTGGACTAGGAAGGCAGCAGTATAAACAGGGACCCATACTAGAAGTCCTGAGGAGGTAAAATCCAGTCAACAGATTAGTTACGAGGGCTCAGTGGTGAAAGCGTTCAAGAATCCCTGCTAGGTTCTTAGAGTGACTCGGTTCTAAGACAGGAACACAAAGATGCCAGTGTGGTGTGTCTGAGACCCTCTTTCTAGGGCCTCCAAAGTCTCCTTCCAGGAGTGGCCAGGCATACAATGGCCCACCAGAGGAGAGGAAATCCATCCTATGGTCCCACTGGACTATAAGTTAAGAAGGAGCTCTACAGTTTGAGTCATTAGAAAAAAAACCCAAAACAATAATTTAAAATAAAAAGGAGAAGGGAAGATTAGGTGAAAGAGATCCTAAGTGGTCCCCAAGCTTAAAGTGCTTACTATCTGGCCTTTACAAAACAAGTCCGCTCCTCACCGCCTGGACGCCATACCCCAGACATCTTCCCAGACCCTCTCCCCAAGGCACACCAGCCTGACCATCATGTCTTGACAGATTAGGAACCTGCTTTGCAGCCTTTACCTTGGCTTTCCCTTGTCCGGAATAGTCTAACCCAATATCCACATAATTTGGACACCTAGGTCTAGCTGCTTAAGCGTCATCTTTACAGCAGGCCCTATCCTGATCACTTCAAAAATATCTCTCCTCACACCCTGTATGCCCTTTGTTAGGCTTTCTCCCCCAACCAAACATGCTATATTGTACTATATTAGGTCTTTCTTTCACTACAATGTAAGTTCAAGGAGAGCAGGGATTTTTGATTGTTTGGTTCACTGCTATGCGCTCAGAGCCTAGAAAAGTTTCTTGCACATGGCAGTTATTTGTTATACTTTTGAATGGGTGGATTAATGCATGAAATGCTTATCAGATAGTTGGGTAAATATGTCTAGAGCTCAGAGGAGGTGGAAAATGGAGACATACATTGGCATCTACCGTATATAGGTGAAAATAGATCTACATGCTTGTATAGAGTGTGACTCCCCTGGGTAGAAAAATGCAGAATGAGAAGTCCTAAAACCAAATTTTGAGGAAACCCATCATTAATAGCCAGGAAGAGGAGGATGAGTCCACAGAAGAACCAAAAGAAGCAAACAGGTAGACAGAGAGCAATTCAAGTAAGAGACAGGGAAGCAAAAGCTATGGGGGACTTCATCAAGATACAAGTTAGTCAACTCATGGTGATTTACTATATGGGGAGTGAGCCACAAGCAGGACACACAAAATTTGGGTCTCCTAGAACCTGACACTGCCACATGGAACACAGACAGTAAACTAGGTGGTCATAGTACGAGGAATACCCTGGAGAAAGGAACCAGAGCGGCATAAGAGAGCAAGTGACACCATGAATTAACCTCACCTGCGACAGTGAACAAAGCTAATGAAGCTACATTTACTTTCATCATCCTAAAAGAAGTAGGAAACAAGTAGGAAAAGCTCAAATTAAGTCAGCAATATGTAACTGACATTCCTGTATGTTCTTCTACTGCTCGTATAATCTAGATGAGAACCCCAACCTTTTAAGATTTAAAAAAACAAAACAAAACAAAGTCTTTAAACACACTTCTTCAGTATCAAAAATTAAGACTAAATGCTACAATACAGCATCCATCCATCCATCCATTCACAAAATCCACTTTTAACAAAGCTAGCCCCTTATGCCAGAGTATGGTGCAACTATTAAAACTGATTTGTTCATATTTGGGTTAACCAGAAGACAAGCACCTCCTGTAACATAATCACATATATTAAAGTCAAATGTAAATCATCAGCCTCGAAACTTGATTGAAAAAAGCCTATTCTCAGTAAGTTTTATATCCTTCAATAGAGATTAAGATATGTTAGACTCATGTAGTACTTGCATAATCAGAATTATTTGTCCAAGTACAAAGGGAAACATATAGACATAAATATATAAATATATAGATATAAATGTATGTGTTTGGGTTTCAGAGACATGCATTACAACTTCTAAAAATGTCACTGATTTGAAACTTAGGAGTAAAGATAGCCAACTTGAAGCAAAGTGCTCCAGGGAAAGAACAACACCTAGTTCTTACTAAACATAATATGAACTAATAAATGTATTTATAGAAGGGTATAGTATCGGGGAATTTCTGGGTTCTTATAAATGAATACCTTTGGAGCCCTGAATGGTGCTCCCAGTCTCCCAGTTGGAAAGGATTTCTATTATCTTCAACATCTCACTGCCTAAAGCTATTTCATCAATGAGGTCTTGCCCTTTAAACATCATTGTCATTTCTTCTGGATTTCCAACATGTTCATCCTAGTTCAGGGCCTTTCGCCTTGGCATACCAGAATACTGATTTCCGAGTCAGAGTTTGGGGCTCAATCCCTAGTTTCATCACCACTCATAGTAATAGACAAGTGGCCCTGGACAAGCTAGCAGGCCTTCCTGGCCTCATTTCCAAAGGAGGAGGAGGATACTCCCACTACTGCTCACATCCAGTTCTCCCTGATCACCACCTCCTTGAAGCCCACAGAAAAACCTGACACTCTTCATCTTCCAAATGCCTTAATGCCTGACCACGGCTTTTTTTTCTTCCTTACTGTCCACTCGGCAGTAAATCATGGACCATCTTCTGATCTCCTGTTCACTGCTGACTCAAACTAAATTGAATTGTTTTTGTTTTTAAATTAAAGTGAGCCCCCTGAGGACATGCCTGTATCTTTTTTTTAACAAAACAAAAATATTACCTGGGGACTTAGCCTGGACCAAGCACTGCGGATGAAAGATTAAAACAAGCAGGGTCCTTATGCGGGAGCTACTGAGTGTAGGGGAAGGAAGTGGCTGTAGTCACGGCCTGCGTAGAGCGCCGGGCATGCGGGGAAGGCGAATGCACCTGCCTGCCCTGCCCTGGGGACTCTGAAGAGACCCAGTGCCCTATCTTGGAGGCTTTCTAAACAGAGGCAGGGAGGGTGAAAGGCGAAAGCAGGAAGGGGTGGGTCCCAAGAAAAACGAAGGGGAAGCTCTGCAGCCCGGCACAGGGAGGTTCTCAGGGTAACTGCGAATCCCAAGCCCCACTTTAGGGTGGGAGGCGCACACAGAAGGCCAGGGCCAACCGTGCAGGAGGCGACGGCACGGATCTCTAGCAGCTGACCCTGAACACCCGTGTGCCTCTAGGGCAGGATCCCCTCGCCCAGGCACAGGTAACGGGCTGCCCCGCAGAGGACGCCCGCGTGCACGCAGACCGGGTAGTGCCCGCCCAGGGACGAGGAAGACTAGCGGGCTGCGGCCTGGGGCAGGGCCTGCGACCAGCGGCCCGCCAGGCCACGCGGCCCTCGCCACCGCTCGGAAACACGGGGACGCCGTGGAGGGCGCTTCCCCAGCTGCCAGAAACAGCGCGTGAAATTGCGGTGCACCTGAGCCGTGCAGGAAGATCAGCGAGGCGCTGTGTCTCCGGGACGGCGCCACCACGTAGCGCTGCAGGCGACCCGAGCCGCACACAGCCGCCATCGCCGAAGAGGCTGGCCCCGCCCCTTCCCCGCCCCAGCCGTCCGAGCTCCGCCCCCGCTGGCGGCCCCTCCCCTCATGGTACTCTCCTCGCCCGCTCCGGTTTCGGCCCCGCCCCCACTGTCCCTAACTCCACCTCCCGCAGCCATCTCCAGGCGTACGTCTGCACGCTGGCACGCAGATCCCAGCGCATGCGCAGCGGAAACTGGACAGCCTCTGGAAATCTTTGAATGTTTAGGGTCAAGTGTAAGGTATTTCTAACTTCAGTAAGAGTTTGGCCTTGCCAAGAAAGGCATTCACAGGTATCAGCCTCTTATAGACTATGGTCCTTACTACGGATCTACTTATATTCCAGGAATTTGCTGTAAGATTTTTAACAGCAGTTTTAAAAGTCAGGTTTACGTTCTTATTTGAAGAAATATCAGTGTTGTGTTTGAAACATAACATATCACCATATTTTACTTTCCGTTTTGAGACTCAGATCAGATGTTTGCAGCTTTCCACATGCAGGGTAACTAGCTGTATAATAATTCCTCTTTGTGACTTTTTGTAGGAATAGTTAACAAAGCAGACCCATTTCAGTAATGATACTTAGCCATTGGAGTGGCTGTTATAAAAAATGTGGAAAATATCGGTGAAGATGAGAAGAAAATGAAGCTCTTGTGCATTGCTGAAGGGAACATCAAATATGACAGCAGTGGAAAGAGTTCCGTGGTTCTACAGAAAGTAAAACATGGAAATATCATATGATCGAGCAATTCTGCCTCTGAATATATCCCCAAAGAAATGAAAAAGGGACTCAAACAGATCATAGCAGTGTTATTCACAATAGCCAAAAGATAGAAAGAAACCAGATGTCCATCTACAGATGAATGGTAAGTAATATGTGTGGTGTATATCTACAATGAAATATTCAGCTTTAAAATGAGATGAAATCCTGATTCATGCTACCACATAGATTGATCTTGAAAACATGCTAAATGAAATAAGCCAGACGTAAAAAGACAAATACTATGTCTCCCATATGAAGTATCTGGAATAGGCAAATTCATAGAGTCAGTAAGTAGAAAATAGTGCTTGCCGGTGTTGGAAAAGGCAAGTGGAGGGTTATTGTAAAATCCATGTAAAGTTGCTGTTTGGTATAATGAAAAATTTCTGAAAATGGTGATAGAAGCACAACTTTCTTAATGTACTTAATGTCACTGAGCTGCACTTTAAAATGGTTAAAATAGTCAATTTTATGTTTGTTTACTACAGAAACAGATATAACATGAAATATACATATATATATATATATATATGTATGAATTTACAAGATTGGCTTACAATGGCCACTCACAGAGTCAGATGTAGAAGAGTGCAGAGGATTTGTCTGCACACTGGAGACCGAAGGATTCAGTTGGAGGTCTGGAGCTCACTGCAGAGTCGGTATCAAGAGGCTGATGGGTCTGTGATGGAAGGCTGAAGAGTTTACATGGGAAGGCTGCAAAGTCTGAGCTGGAAGCTGAAGAGTCTGCACTGGAAGCCAGGAGATGACGTCCAAAATGAGGGCGAAGCCTGGAGCTCCTCCAAGGAAACAAGCAGATTGATCCTTCTCCATCTCCCCTTTACACCGTCCGGCGACAGCCACCCTAGGATGGATCTTCCACACCCTAGGGTGTGTAATTGAGCCCATTTAGCTGAGCTTCTCTTACTCAACTTGATGCAATCAATCAACTGTCACGTGTATATTTTGCTGCAATTCTGAAACAATAAAAAGGTAATTGTTTTTAACCATATGTAACTTATTCTAAGACTGTAGTCCTAGCAGGTGGCTCTTTCTTCATATAAAAATCAACAAAACAACCCAGTAGAACTTTAGCCATTAATACCAGCCTTCCTTTCATTATCGCTTGCATCATATTTAAGGAATTACAAGTTATGTTTGGTTTGTTCAGGGTATTGGCTCTGCTCTGAAATGACCAAACTGCTTACTATCAAGGGCTAGTTGCTAAGACAAGCTCTATACCATCAGTATCCTACCAATGGTATCAGAGCAAGTGACCCTACACACCATTAATCAGATTAGAAAGAAATGGAGTTGTTTCTCAGAAGCCCCCAGAGCTACACTGAGAGTGCAAATGGTGAAGTCACTGAGGAGAATAGGCTGCAGTGGACTGAGCTCTGATGGTCACATCTTACTGGAAGCACTTTGGTCTCTAGACCTGCGTTCCTCATGCGAGGCCTAGATGGCATTCAGAGCCAAGGGAGAAGAGGGCCCATGCTCCTAGGAGAAGCCACTTGGAGATGCCCCAGGGAAGACTGAGTGCTCATTATAGTCAGTTTCCCATCATTGGACACAATACCAATACCCACAACTTAAAGGAGGAGAGGCTTATTTCTGCTCACTGCTTTTATAGTATTCATTCTATAACTGAGTGGCTCTAAGGCAGGAAGGGCATGGTGGGAGAGTCTGCTGGAGGAAACTGCTCCTGTCAGGACAGGAAGCAGAGAAGGAAGGAAGGAGCTTGGATGGGGAGATACATCCTTCTAGGTCACATCTCAATGACCCACTTCTTTCAACCAGGCCCCACCTCCTAAGAGCACATTCAGCTCTGAACTCTGCAGTGGATTAATCCACTGGTGCATGTAGCACCCCCTGATCCAGTCACCTTCTAGATGCCCCACCTCTGAACTCATGAGGCTTTTGGCGGGCATTGTACATCTAAACCATAACAGTGCTACTCTTAGAACTCAGTTCACTATGCGGAAACCTTGCCAGACAACACCAACTGGTTTTGAGATAGCAAAAATTGGGAAAATCATGATATAGTAGTGATGGTGATCATTATTGTTGATAATAACAGCTGACGTTCATGTCACTTACGGTGGTAAGGAGCAAGACTTGTCATCAAGAAATTCTTGTTATCATGAAACTGTACTGTCACTGCCTCCTCTTGCTACCAAGGCTTTGAGAGGTGAGGAACTTGATTCAAGGTCATTCTGCAAGTTTGTAGACTAGGGGGTCTGTCCTGACTGCAGATTCCAGGTCCTTAATTGTTACCCACTCTTAAACACTGGCTCTCAGGAATAAGGAAGGGCATATCCCAGCTCTTCAAGCCCTTCTGGAATTTGGACTGTAGCCCTTTACAGCCTCTGTTAAGATTCCTGGGTTTCTTGGCTTTCCCCAGGTCTACTTGTATTACTTCCAGCTTTCCTTCTCCCCTGGATGAGCATCAGTCTAAGCAGCCAGGTAGGCAGGGTGGACACCTGAAGGTTGGAATTTAAAGTTTCCCCTTGAACATGACCTTTCCCAGATTTAGAATCATTATTAGAATGAGCCAAGTTCTTCCTAACCTAACAAAAGAGCTCTTTTATTTCCGGTGGTTTAAATACTTAGCTATTGTTGCTATTCCTTTCATCTTTATTTATTTATAGCACAAACACAAGGTTTTAGATTACTATATTTAGAGATGCCATCTGGTAGGCAAACTTGAACAAAAATGTTTTATTCCTTTCATGTGACTGTACTACTTTGAAATGTAATTAAGTTTCAAGATGGCTGTGTGCTTCTGTTTTGGTGGATCTTGATCTTTTGCCCTGTTACACTTGGGATATTATCCCTGGAATATTTTTATTCCTACATTCCTTTACTTTTTGTGTATCTTCTAGTATTTTGGTTGGTACTTCTTAGCTTTTAGCCAGTCTGTCTGCCCGTTATTGATATACTCTCTAACTTCAGTTCTAGACTGAAAAAAGCAACTACATGAAGTTAAACCCTAAAACAAGATCACCCCCTCCCCATTTTTCAGGCTTTCAATATGTCTTGAGCTCTAAAGATGTAAAAAAAACTTGAAAATTTAGCCATTTTGAGTCAGATAGTTGCTATTTTCTAATAATGACAAATGAAATTGCATTAGGCATGCAGACAAACAGTTTTGCATTTGTTCTTTTTCTCATTCTTGAACATCAAATTATATCTTCTCCAGTGGTTAGTTTTTATGTGCCATATTACTCAAAGAGACAGAGAAACACATGTATACTTTATAATCACATGCATGTTGCATAAAATAGCTTGCCTTTAGGTAATTTAAAAAGTTTTATAAATTAACAAGGTAGATTTTTTTATCCATTCCCTTTATCCATTTATGAAACTGGAAGAAGCTTAAAATCTTAAATTCATATACTAATGCTAAACTGAACCTCATTTTTGAAAATGAGACTATGAACTTCAGTATAAGCATCACCTTAGTCCCAGGGACATTAAGCTCTTTTGGTTCCATCCCTCTAGATACAGATGTGGGGAGTTCCTTTACTCCACCCTACTAGTCCTACAGAAGAGCTCTGGCAGTTCCATTTTTAGGCAAGATGGGTCACCTGGGACACGCAGAGATGGGCTGGGGGTGAGGGCTAGGGAAAACCTGAGTTCCTCAAACACAGACAAAGTAGTCTTGGAGCATTCATTGAATGCTGTTACTCTGCGGGATTAGTAGCAGTCAGATGGATCCATACCTGAGCTAGCTACAGCCCTGGGGGAGGAAGGTAGAAGTTCTTCTCTTGAGTGGTTTTTATGCCTTTTGTCTAGATGTCTCTCCAAGGCCTCATGCACTCATGGGTGGGGCTGGATCTAGGGTGTGTGATGCTGGTAGAGGTTGTATGATGCTAGCTTTAAATTATGCAATGTTGGCATTTAGAGTTCATGATTACTAAATTAGTCCACTGATCAGTTAAGCATAGTTCTAGGTGTGGATGATAGGAAGACCCACCCTGGGTATGAGTGGCTCCACCCAAAAGGCAGGTAGCCTGGAAGGGATGAAAGGGAGAAGCTTCTGCCTTGCTGCATGCAGTTGGCTCCTGCTGCTTCCTTGATATTTCGCTGCTTTGCTCTCTTCCTGCCTTCTGCCTGCCATGGATTATTTTTCCTCTGCAATGCAACCCTATCATGGAGCCAGTCAACTATGAACTGAAACCTCTACACACTCCGGACCAAAATAAACCTTTCTTCCTTCACTTTTGGTGTCAGGGTATTTTGTCTCAGCAACGAGAAAAGTAATTAAGACAAGTGTATAGACTAGATGGTCAGGCTGTATGCCCAGGCACCTGAACAATGCTCTGCATTGCCACAGATCTTTCTTCTCTTCCCAGGAAAAAGATGCTCTTCACTTGAGCATCACCTATGGCCAGTTTTCAAATTTCCAAGTTACTCTTTGGAAATACTTAGCTTCCTGTAAGTCCTCATGTTAGTCCCAGAAATTCTTCCTTTGATTTTCTTTGCATGAGTGTCTCTCTCTGTGTGTGTGTGTGTGTGTGTGTGTGTGTGTGTGTGTGTACCATCAACCCATGGACAATATTTTATGTGAAGGCACGACAGTGGGTTTCCTACTGTCATAGTTATATATTAAGACAATGAATAATCTTCGTAAAATTCTCCTTAATTTATATTTTAAAGGCAAATTAATACCATTTCTGATCATGATTCTAAAGAATTAACTTTCTTATAAAATGATGGTCAAATGTCAATCTTCAAGAGCAGATATTATTTGTGTAGGTCAGTGATGGCAAACCTTTTAGAGCTCTCAATGATAATAAACAGCCCGCTGCTGCACATGTGCCATAGTTTCGCCACCACTGGTGTAGGTTACAAATGGATCCAAATGTGTATTTCCAAAAGTATTGAAAGCAGGGTCTCAAAGAGGTATTTTTACACTAGTTTACAGCAGCACTATTTGCAGTATCTAGCAGGTGGAAAGAATCCAAATGTCCAACATTGGATGGATGAACAAAAATAATAATGGACTATAATAAAGGAATATTTCCAGCCCTGCAAATGAAGGAAATCAGGTCACAGATAATGAAGACTGCTGTGAAATAATCAAGCCACAGAAATGGTAAATGCCATTCCCCTTCTGTCAAGTTTCTGAAGTAGTAAAATTCATAAAAATGTAATAGAATGGTGGCTACAGAGCACCGTGGGAGCAAGTGTGTGAGGTCCTTTTACAGGAACGCCTCATTTTAAGAACGTCTCATTCAATCCCAATGTCTAAATTTACAATGTACATTAAATATTATAATTTATAGTTTAGTGAGTGTCTATTTCTTTGACCGTTTTGCAGGCAAACTGGATTGTTTTTGTCTTCATATTGCCAGGGCCTAAAAACAAAAGCTTTGGAGTTGCTTTTTAAAAAACAAGCCATGTTGATGCCCTTGAAGAAGCATTGATAGTAGTTTTTCAAATCCTCTTTCAGAGCACCCCTCTGCCTAACTTCCCACATTTGCTTCTGCAGACCCCAGGGCCTCCAGCCCTGTCCACTGCGTGTCAGGAT